AAAAAAAAATAATAAATACATGCTAGTCTAGTGTCAAAAGTTTTCCACGACCAGTGAACAGCACAGCCCTCAGTTTTGTGACACTGAGTATGTCCAATATTCTACGTAAAACCAATTGTTTTGCTTTTGTCAGAGACGGGGTCAAACAGTAATTTTCTGCCTTTGACTGAAGCTGATGTCACCAGAAGCCTTGAAGTGATCCGTACCGAGTCAGCGCTTCTCCAGAAGAAAAATGAGACCCCAAGACAGGTCTCGGTTTGTGAGGCTGCGTAAGAACGTAAGGCTACCTAAGCATTCTTCATTTGTGTGCAAGGTAATTTCTGAGAAACAGCTTTTCCTGTCTTAGGAGCGAGTGGGATGGTAGTATTTTTTTTAGCTCTTTGTTAAAAACCAATTCTACCTGCAGTGTGGGAACGGGCTGATACAGGTTACACTGAACGGTAGTGATGTCCCTACTCATGTAGTCCACCAGCACAGATCAGTTTTCAGCATCTGCTTAACTTTTTGCTTCATTTTTGTCCTGTTAAAGCAGGACACAGAAGCTCCTGTTCTAATAGCAGTAAGAAAAATTCACTCGGAAACTGTACGGTACGACCCCTTTTAGCCACAGAAATTACCTTCTTGTATAGTAATGCTGACATTCATAGTTTAGGAAAGTGCAACAGCCACAGAACAGTGAAAAAAGGGCAGTGGAATTCACCTGTGAGTTTACTGCAGAAGATGACAACGTGCCACAGTTTTAGGGCACCGCAGATATAGTTTGAAATGCCGCAACCCACATGCAGCCAGGGAAACAAAAGGGGTGACTATTTGGCTCAACACACCTTTCTTGGCTCCATTGCACTGGAATGACAAGGAACTAGGGGCAACCTCTGGGAGGTGATGGGTAGTTTGATGACCCTGCTCTGGTCCAAACATCTGCCCAACTGTTGCTAGCCCCATAGTCAAAGGTTTCCTAGTGTCAACCAGGAAGTAATGAGGATGAGATTACGGTCTTTTAGCCAGATCTAAAATGCTTCACAGGGAAGGCCTAGACTTGAGGTCCAGCACTCAAGAGCTAGTCATTTTGTAAAGGTAAATTCAGAAGCCCAGGTTGAGAAAGTGTTCTTTAAGTCAACAAAGCACATATTTTAGTGAAAATGGCAGAAAATGAAACAGATTCAGCTTGTGCCTAGTAAGACATGCAGACAGAAAGTTAAAAATGTGCTGGTGAACTAACAACTGAATGCCTGAGCCACACTACTGTTAGGCCTTAACACAACTTGGCGATTTCTTCCCTTTCTCATGGGGTGAGATGTCACGAGAGCCCTCTCCAATGATAAAAACAGTTAGTTACCTACATCCATTAGCACACAAGGTTCTGACAGCCTGAGACGTGAAAATGATTACATGGTTCTCCGCCAATTAGTGATTGCAATCCTCCCTTTTCTTCCTACGTCCGAGGAAGATGGGAGTCAAGCACCAAGATTTGGGGAAAGGGGAACAAAGTCTTCACTCCTGAGAATTTAGGAAAACGTTGTAAAAACTAGTTTAATTCTTTGCAAGACAGTCTTGGCTTACGTATAAAAAGCACGTGCACGAGTCTGAATTCAGAGCAACTGCTAAGCGGAGCGGCTCGTTGCAGAGTGGGTAAGAAGCACTGACAGACAAATGGTGATACCATTTTCGATGTAATGTTAAATATTTACATACCTTGGTTGTACGAGTAAACCCTCTGGCATCAGTGAGGTTACTCAGACACACAACTTGAAACCCAGACTATAAGAATTTCACTTCAGGAGGGAGCTAATAGCTACTTGCAGACTTTCCATATAATGGCCTTTCTGAATGCTCCCCCTCAGATGTCTAATTAACTCATTTACATAAAGTGAAGAGCCCACAGATATCCTCAACAGGAAAAAGTAAAACCACCTGACTGCAAAAGCAGTTACTCCTTCTGCTGACCAGAAGCACTCCCCCTGCAAAGCGTTCACAGTTCCGACCTCACGCTACATCTCAACGCCTTGCTGCTAATTCCGAAGAGAAGCAGCTTGATGTGGATTTCAAAAATCCTGTTTTCATCGAAATGTTAACGTTCTAAATGATTTCAAACGCTTGGGGGAGTAATGCAAAACAGTGGGTCCGAAGTGGCAGGGAAGAGCGAACATTCTGTAAAGTCGCAGGGCGAACCCAAACCGTCTCTGAAGCACTGCATTACAGAGGTTGGGACCGCTCCCCACCCACCGCATTGCCACGGTACACAGACTGCCCTGGGCTGATGGAAGCTGTCTTGCTGCGGCGCTAGCAGAGCGTAGCACCAACGCAGTTCGCTGTTACAGACGTTGGCAAACAGCAGCAAACGAGTTTTTGCTAAAGGGAGTCAGTTCCGAGTTATACAACTCCTCTACAACAACTGAGCGGACAAAGACCGTGCAAGCGGAACGGAAAGGTACGTCAATCCAAACTTCTCCAAAAGGAGCTAAATGACTTACCTTAAAGTCTACGACGTCCTCTGACGCAAGACCAATGCCCACGTTCTCAGTGCGTTCATTACAGAAGAATCCCTCCGTGAACAAGACACAGGCGCTATTTTGTTTCGTGGGCTCAGTGAGGAAAGGATGTGTCCCTGTACTCTATCATCAAATCCTACTTCCAGAGCCATACTCCTACTATGAAGTGGCTTCTTTAACAGATGAGGAAGTGACATATCCTATCTCCATTAGAAACATGTGGGAAAAACAGAATGTTGGCCATATGGGAAAAAGGAGAAAGATCAGTGAGGAAGTGCTTAAGCTTCCTGGACACCACAGTAAAAAAGGCAAAGCTTAAATTGGCTTTAAGTACATTATATTTATAGTTCTGAACACGTGTTCATGCATTTTACAGCTATTCAACAACGACAGAATTGCAGAATTTCTCCTAGAAGCCAGAGAGCTGAATAATTTCTAAGTTTTTGGTGCAGTATGATGAGGTTTGTAAGTTCATTACTTCTACATTTTAATTCCTTGCTGATTCTTGACCAAATCACTGAAGTCTTTAGCAACGTGATGTACTCCTATAATTGTCGGGTCATATCCTGAAGCGCACTGGAGCAGCAGCTTAACAGATGGCATTGTGGAAGGCCTGTATCGATTAAACAATGCTTCAAGATATCCCCTCAATTCTCTTTCTGGAACATTTACCTTCGTTGATGGCTGACACCCGGTTCCAGGCGTTAACAGTTACTACCAGAGCAGGCTGGCTTGGATCCCTGGAGCAACTGCAAAGCCAAGGCGGAAAAATTCACCTTTGCAATGAGCAAGGGCAGCTGATGCTGGCTACTGTGCAAGCAGTCCCACCTCTAACAGTCTCTCTTCTGTCACGAATCCTTTTCCTTTCCTTTCTCCTTTCCAAACCCAGTTTCTTCTCATGTCTAAGTGGGAACAGAGATTTAGCCTCTGAAATAATTGTTCTCTGTCTCCCCAGGATCACCAAACACTGCAAAAAGTAACCTGCACTGAATTGCAGAGGAAGTAACAAAAGAAGATGACTATTAAGCACTCTGTGATTTTTCGGTGAGCTTTACAGCACCTGATCAGGTTAAAAAAAGATAGAGCAGAAAACATTGTATTTAATTTTTCACAATGACATTGATTAACTGATTTATAAATTCCTAATTAAGACTACCTGCAACTTGTCATGTCACCTCGGTTCTGCTGGTACACGTTACAGATAATGATACGGATAGCTGCCACTTAAGGCACAGTTTTGATTCTGGGGTGAAGGTTTAACCATTCTTGGTATCAAGCAGGCATGATGTTCTCAGCTCTGAGCAGCCTTTTTGGATATATACCAAAAAACCAAGGTCAACTGGGGGAAGACCCAAGCGACGAACTTTAGATTGTGGTCATCGAAGTGTGAGAGACTCAGCTAGCACAAGTTAACATGCTAAGCCCCCTTCCCGTTTGGAGCTGTTCCTGAAGGTGGGATTAAGCCAAGATGTTTTATGTAGAAACAGATAAAAGTAGTATACAGGACTACTCTGCCTCAGGAAAAGACAAGTTACTGTGAACAGGCTAATACGATCCCCTGTGCTTTTCCACCTAACCATCCTTCAGGACTACAAAAACATGTTTTCTGTGACGTATGTAAAAACCTTGAAGGAAAACATATTTCGAAAACTAAACTAATGCTTTTACTTATTCTCAGCCAAGTTTTCACCCTCCACTTACGAGCCAAACAAATAATGGTACATTCAACAAAAATTTTGGAGTCTTCTGCAGGCTTAACACAACGTGTTAAGAGTATTCCTGCAGCTGGAACTCTTTCCTATTTATTCTAGGTTACAAGACTTGCTACTGGATTTAAGAATGGATATTTCACATCTAGACAAGCTAAAAAAAAAACAAAAACAAACAACCCTCATTATCTTCCTCTTCAGTATAAAAACGCTGCATGCATGCACGCACATGAAACAAGATTTCTCTAGGCAAAGATGCCTGCCACAGATAAAAATAAAAAATAATCAGAATAAACCAGAAAAATCTTGTACAGACAAAGATGTGATGCCTGTGCCAACGTCACCTGTGTAACAAACCTCATTCTATGCTTTTCTAACAGGTGTTTACCCAGAAAGTACATTTGCATTTATTTAATCTTGATTTTTGTGTTCCTTAAACTGCCACTCAACAGACTGGTTACCATCATACAGAAACATCTAATTTTGTTCCAAATACTTATCTTTTTAAACACAAAAGCAAATGATTACGGAATTGCATTTATGACTCTAGAGCTGGTTCAACAAATTAAATTTTCCAGACACAATATATATATATATTTTTTTTCCCTGAGAGGGCTAAAAGTCACGGTTCAACTTCACGTTACACTACAATTAACAAAAAACACTACGCACAAAATCAGAGGTTAACTACAGCATACAAGCACATTTATAGAAACACCCTAATTTCACTGGTACTATTTGTGTTAACGAGTACAGCTTAACAAAAGTCCTAAAATAATCTTTATACATTACAAAACAAGGATTTACAAAACTTTTATTTCCAAGTTACTTCATTCTAAAAATGTTGAAACATAAAAAAATACCATTTACCAAAGAAGTTTACAATAAAAGGCTAACAATCTGGCATGGAAGAGGTAAATATATGGAAATCTGTTTTAACAGTCAGAAATCAGTCGCTGGTGATTAAAGAACACTTTGTTCTTCAAAGCTGGTAGGCACTTCCTCGTAGCCAGAAATGTAAGTTCTGCCACTCCTTTTCCCTCCCGTACATAAAAATATCCAATGCAATAAAAAAAGTCAGATAAAAGGGTGGACACATGGTGAAATAAAAGCGTTATCTAAGGTCTTGATTATTGTTCGTCTTGTTTAAGTGTAAAGACTTTGTCCCAAAGTTTTCCTGACAAGATGGAGTTACTTGGCCTTAAAAACGTTAGCTGAAATACCTCCCTTTTTTACCAGTATATGCTGTTTGCTCACTGCTGTATTGTTGCTTTATGTCTGTGACAGAAACCGGCTCTAGGCCAGCCCATGGGTCCTCAAGCATTGAAGGTCTGTAATAGTTTTCCACATCATTAGACACTCTTTTCTCTCTGCCATGCGCTGTACCAAATGGAGTAGATGTCCTGGGTGATCCCTTTGGAAGAAAACCATCAGGTAAAGAAACATTTAATATGCTAATTCAAACTAAAACCGAAATAAAAATAGTTTCCTTCTAATGCAGCAGAGCTTTGAAGCTGATTATTAACGATGACTACCACTCCTCACCTACATCTTCCTCAGAAAATAGTAGCTTTATTATGCTTTCGAGTGATGATTTACCAGGTAAGAAAATAACCCCAACAAGTCTTCTCCAAAATACCCGCTGACGTCACGCTGGCACACAACTACTGGAAGGCTCCTCATGCTGTTTTTTAGAAGCTGCCTCAGTTAGCAGCCTGCGAGCAACTGAACAGGGAGTCAGAGGCTGAGGAAGTGCTGGTCTCATTCACAAGAGCCCAAGTCACGCGTTAAGTACCTACGGACTGAGCACAGCACTGCATACAGGGAACAGCTACAAATAACCTGAAGACATTCGTGGGGAAAAAACACCCTGTTTTAACCAAACGAGTGTTCTGTGAAAGGTGAGTACAGATAACTTGCTTTGGTAAACAATCTGGATGCTAATCAGTAATGAAGCAGATGCTGCACAAAAAAAAAAGCCTTTTGCATGGCTTCTGACATCTATTTTGTTTTAAAGATGAAGGACCACCACAACTGCTTCTACAAACTTGCTACTGGTCAGCTACGACATAAAGGAACTCGCTAGCACCTTTTTCTCCTGTTAGCATCACCCACTGCTCTTTTCCCGAGATTCACCCTCTCAAATAGCCATGTTTGGTCTAAAGCTGTATTTGTTCAAATCCATTTGTTTTAACCAAAGTTAAACCACCTCTACACACAGCAGTAAGTTTTGAGAAATGCCTGTTGCATTCTGTACCATTAGAAGAACGGGATTCCTTGAGGCTGTCAGCTTCTAACATTGAAAAGGGGCGCAAAAGCACCAAACAAGGGCTGCTTCCTCACTCCCACGACTTTTTGGAGCAGCAGTAATGGTATTTGAATTTGCCTAATAAGCCCTACTATGAATAAGTAAGACTCCTATGGATTTATTCATTTTATAATATTAAATTTCACTACAATATAATGCAAGCCATCAGTAACACTGACATTTTTGCACATCTGAAATCTGGGAAATGTATTATTATGTGATACAAGATTGATGGCCTTCAACGAGTGTTTGATTTAAGCATGTAGATATTTTTTAAAATTTAGAATACTAGTTGTCCTATGCTTTTTTCCTTTGTATTTTCTTTAGGGGGGGGGGAAAACATCACTATGTAATTATTCATATCAGCCCTGTGGAAAAAGAAAATTCCCCTGCCTGTGCAAGTGAAACTATTGTGTGCAAAACCAACTGTTTGATGCCAAAGATACATATATATACACACACACATTTTAAGGTTTTTCCTTTACAATCACTGGTGCCAACAGGCTTTTCGTCACTGAACTTCCTTGAAGAAACAGTCATTCTATTCTCAATAACTTTCTTCCAGATAATGCATCTCTCGACAGTACAAAAAAACACCTTTTGGTGTTACTGAATGGGATAATACTGCCTTGAAAATGAGGACAGTCACCCCCTTTATAAGCTGCATTCACCTGATGTAATTTTAACTGCTGGCAGATGCACAGAAACACGGAAATCATTCTTATACATTTTCATAAGTGGGTTTTTTTTTTACTGTCCCTAATGATTTTCAACCCATCACCACTAACTAGTTACTGCTACTAACTCCTACTGAATGTAGGTAGGGAAGCGCTGCCACTAAGTGAATTCTGAGAGGATATTCAGGAGATACAACAAACATGTTTCTCAAAATTTAAAGCAGGTGTGCCTCTGTGGAAAAAGGTCTGTAAAACACTGGCCACATAAAGGTTAAGTCGGCCATTTCAGAAAAAAAATCAAGCTTACCATAGTTTTGCGATTTTTTTGTGGGTTTGTTTGTTTTTTCTAAGTTTTCTGTTCATTTCAAAACATGAAAGCCTGCAAGCCTTGAACAAGCACAGAATACTAACAACATAGAACACTGAAGTAAATATAAACTGTCTTTTGGACTTCCTGATGAGATATTTAAGGGTCACTTAAGATTTTCATCTCCAAGGTGACAGCAGAAGCATAAATTTCAAAAAGCACTGTAGTTTTCTTAACAATAGCATCTACAGACAAGAAGGGAACAATCCACGAATGTCAGAAGAAATTTGATGCTTAGAACATGCAAAAAAATCCCTCTACCTGAATCTACTCATGGCCTCATGGACAGACATTCTTGTTATTCATGTCACGGAAAACGGGCACTCACGTTTATGAGACTTTCTCCCTCCGTGACTGCCTCTATCGCCCGCCCAGGAGAAACAACCCGTGTGCATACACGTAAAAGTACACCCATACGCACTGCCTTAGTCCTAGGCAAAGCTACAGATGCTTCTAGCCTTAGAAAACATAAGGTCAGTGCTCCTAAACTACTCACAAGGTCTGCAGAAGGAAAGGGGAGAAGGGAAAATGTTGTGACAAGCTGTGACTGGATTCAAACTTGTACCTTCTTTCTGTCAGGTTTCTTACTGGAGACCAAGAATGGCATCTGTGAGGCCCTTCCTGCCCACAGGTCCCGACATGAAACAGTCCTGACTAAAACCAGAGGCAAAGGGATTCCTTCATATTCTTCTGCTCAGTTAATTTAAGGCAGGGTTTTAAAGAAAAACACTTAATTGGTTATCCATAGAGGGAAATGCCTAAGCGTCGGTGACATAAACCGTCCCTCCAGAATCTGCAGCAGAAACTCTGCATCCTTTGCCTTTCCAACAGGTACAGAAGTTAAGCCACCTGTGGGCTTCCACGCTGGGAGAGCCTTTGGTGCTGTGCTGAAGAACACGCATAAAGTTCCTAACGGCCCTGTTCCACTACGCAACTCCTGTAAGAGTCATCTGCATCGTAAAAAAAGTAAACAAAGGCTATTTTTGAATGGAAACATGAGTATGCAGTGCGGGCACATTATGATTTTACTAATCTCTGTTAGATTTGACTTCGTTATTACGTGTCAATCCTTCAAGTAAAAGCACCTGACACTTTTACCAGTTTGTACTGCATGTGTAATTTTTTTTTTCAGTTTTAAGGTTTCTCTAATGCTTCATAAAGCCAGTTATGCACATAAAATTGGTATCACTTCAAAAACTGCCACCCCTATCTGCACTGCCAGTCACCCCCCCCAAGTAAGGCATCTGAAAACAGCACCGCTCACCCCACCTGTTGCTGACAGTGCTCAGGAAAAGTTCTTTATATAAGCTAAAGGTTTCAGTGCTGTGCAAAGACCTTAAAATGACAATCCTAGTCATAGAATCATAGAATCACGGTATGGTTTGGGTTGGAAGGGACCTTAAAGCCCATCTAGTTCCAACCCCCCT